TCAAAAATGGCAGATTTAAAAGAGGAAATTTTGCAAGTGATGACAATTTCATGGGAAGAGAAAATGAAATTTTTTAATATAAGTTTCCAAATTAAGACTTTTCTTACACTTTATGACTTTTATTAGGCATCTTTTAATGTATTTCACACGGTCGAATATACCAAAGTCATTAATTTTAAATAGGAATAAATTATCGAAAAGAAATATCTATTTCATTCTGTTTCCGTTACTATTGAGTATTTTTAATGTATTTAACGTCTAAGAAATGTTTATCGTTATCACCACCCAAAAATAAACCAATTGTTTTCTATTAAAAATCCAGATTAATAGGATATACTACTTACTGTTAAGTTTCAGATTTTTGAAAAATGTAGTTTTCCTTTTTAGTATTTTGCCAATCATCATGCTTTTATTTAAAAAAGCACAGTCAAAATTTACAGCTAACAAATCTACAAGTTAAATACTAAGGCCAACTAATTTTTTAGATGGAATTGAACGCTAATTGGAGAAAATCTAATACAAAGCATGCATAGTCACTTGCGAAAAGAACAAAAGAAACATTAATGTATGATTGGATTTTGAAATGCGGTAGATGTTATTCGCTTCATATTTATTTTGAAACGAACACAAAATTTATTTTATTAATATCATAAAAATAATCTTCATCTAATAGTATACTATTATCCTGCATACACTCAAATAAATTATTTATGTAGTTTTATTTTTAATTTTAGTCTTTAAAATTTTGAACTATGCAGTTGTTTTGATTTTTATTATAAACATTGCTGTTGATTCTTTTGTTGTTAATTTTTTTGGTCAATAATATCGTTTTTATTAATAATATGAATTTTAGAAGTTTAATTTTACTATTTAATTATTTTATATATGTAAATGTGTCAAATCAAATGTATAATAATTTAATACATTAAAGTTAAAAAAATCATGTTAAATTTGGCTTATCCGAATATCTTAAATAGAATTTAGAATACAAATAAATTATTTAATATTTAAAAAAATAAAATATATAATCATAAATTTTATAAATGAAACACAGATTAAAAAAATTGTTGCTTTCGAATTAAAAAATGTTTTTATTACTTTCAAATTGTCTTGCGTTAAAAAAATATTTCAAAAGAATAATTATATTTGTTGTTATAAACTTGGAAGTTTTTTCCACAAACATATCAAAATCTCTTTAAAAAATTTGCTAAGTCTTTATTATTATTTTCAAAAAGAATATATATTCTATAAAAATGTTTTATAATTTTATTATTACAATAATTAATTTCTAAACTATTTTTAAATGGGAAACCAATTTTTTATATAATTTTAGAACAAAAACAAAAATCTGATAATATATTAATTAAAAATTCTTTTGATTTATTTATGGTAACAATTATAAATTTAGTTTTAGAAGATTTTATTATTGATTCAAAATTGTCATCTCACAATTTTGACAAACCATGTCACAATTGTTTTGGTGAAGGTGAATATAGAGATGACACATAAGTATTTTCTCACAAATCACTCCCCAATTAATATATAAGGGATACATTTCAGTTCCATTTTATAAGATGTTTTGGGACATGAAATTTCTTAGAAAAACAGTATTTAAAAAATATATATTTTGTACATTAAAACATCATTTAATACTTAACAAAAAATAAATCAACCAATTATAAGTGAAAGTTATGGTTTACAAAATGTTGGTAGAACCTATTAGTAAGTGTATAAAACATGGTTTAATCGACACACATTTTGGATTTATTGTTGTGTAGCGACACAACCCGAGAAAGTAGTGATGAATATCCTAAATTCTCCGTGCGAAAAAACGGAACGGGAAGCCAAAGTAGGAGAAACAACTTCAACGGTCCATGAAGCGTAGCATCCTTCAAGTGTTGCCAATGTTTCAACACAATCTTGTGCAGCTAGAGCATCTCCATGCGCCGTCGATGTGGTTCCTTACCAGGGTGGTGGAAGAGACTTCCAGGACAACAAGGCTTTGTCAACGACCAGAACCGAGAGATTGCAATTCGTCAACAAGGCGTTGATTTGTTTATATCATAATTTTAAAGTGTACAAAGAATATACAATTATTGTGAAATGAGAGTATAAAATGGTTTATACTTTTAAGACGATAGGTTAACAATAAACTTCATAAAAGATGTATATTAAAATGGTAGGATTCTAAAAAAAATTATGATTTTCTAAACATCCTAATAATTCCATTTAATCATGTAGTTTCATGCCTTAACTCGAGTATCTACGTTTGAAATGTTTGATTTTCTTCTTTTATGTTTTATTCATTGGGACTTTTATATATTTTTATCTTCTTTTTTTTTTTGACGTCAAAGTATCGTTATATATTTTTATCTTGATCAAGATATCTTTGATTTTTCACCTTTTCCATTGTAGTTTTACTTGGATTTGCAAAAAAAAAAAAAACGAAATATTGATTAATTAGTGACTGCGTATTTTGGCGGTGAAACTTAACATTTTCTCCAATGAAAGGTGGTGACGACGAGTCTTATTGATTTTTTTTTTTTTAAGTAACAACTTAATCAATTCTACATTTGAAGAAGAAATCCCTAAAAAAATGTCTAGTTACAACAACAAACTTATTTGCATCAAATTTTAGCAAACAAAAAAAGAAAACAAACTTATTTGCATGATCTAAAATGATATTACTTGCTCGCTACGTGATCTGCAATTTCAAAACCAAAGAACTTGTTGAAAAGATGATATATCATCATTTTAGAGATTTCTCAACAAATTTTTCAGTTGCACCAACATGTTTAATTGCATGATCTAAAACGACGTTACTTGTATGATTTAACATTAATATTCACTAAAAACTATATTTCCATTACATTAACTTAAAATAAAATTGATTTCTCAGTTAATATAGATTGCATAGTAACCACCAGAACAAATTATAAGAAATGCTATTAATTTAGGAAAATATTAGTATTGTACATGAACCATATTGTATTAACTATTAAGTAAATAGAGCAATTAAAGACCATGTACATCAATGATGGCATATAATATAGTTTACTCTTCCTTTCTTTATTTAATAATCAACGAGTCGAATTGTCAAATAAAGGCATATCGAATTGAAAGTTGATTAGATAGTTTGGAGAAAATGCATATAAATAAACCGTCAAAGATGGTTAGGCAGAGTTGTTCCGTCGACCTCGTCACTCACGTCGTACGCCGTGATGTCCGGTTTATTGCTGCTCGTGGGCTTAATATATACCAGGCCTTATATAATTAGGCCCAATTTAACACAATGTATGAAATGAAATATTAATAAATGACTTGTTATGAAATGTGTTAAATATCTCTTTCAAGTTTCAACACAAATAAAATTCATAAATCTAACAATTATGAACAAATCTATATATATAATAGCAAAGTTTTCTCTCCATCTAATGTATCCATATAGATAAAATATTAATACCTTAGATGGAGAGAAAAGTTTGCTATTATATATATATAAATTATAACGAACTACAATATAAATGAAATATATTCATTATTGTAATTTTTATTTGGAAAATAAAATATTCAAATAATCCTAAAATATAGTTCGCTTGATACATGAGTTATACAATTTTATTAAACTTAAAGACAAAAAGATGATTTAACCATTTACAATTTTATGCTACTTTTAATCATTAATTTACTTATTTTTAGTATAATATAACTCGCGCAATGTGCGTTTTTTTTACCTCTTATATCTTTTAAATATATAACACTTTAAATTTTTCTTTCATACTTGCATAATATTCAAATATGACATTATGAACAAAATCGTACATTCCAAATTTTCATCTTGTTATCTCATCTTTAATGAGATAGTTTAATATCTTTTTAATGAAATAATATATATTAGTTCTCTTTAGATCAACAGTCTCTTAACAATCGTTTGACACTCAGATTGTTTATTATTTTGTTTTCTTTCATGTCGTTTATATTTTTATTCATTTGTTCTATATATACACTCGTTTTACATATTTTCAACTTTTGAAATTTAATATATAAAATTTTATCGTTATCATAAGCTCATAAGAAAATATAAATAATTTTATATGTTTAACAAAAAAAAAATTATATGTACTACT